TTCACTCCTCGTCTATCAATGCTTTTTTTAAGAACGTATTTGGGCACCTCTTTCCTATGCACTCCGGTGCTTTCAGAGCTAACAAGCACGAGAGGCGAAAAAAAATATTTGAATTTTTCAAATCTCAAAATTTCCTATTATTTTATTTATTTATTTATTTATTCAATACGCACATGGCGTGCCATATCTGAAACAAAAAAAAAACGAATACTTAGAGCTTGAACAGTAAAGAAAATAATAAAACATCCCAAGTGCTCGAGTCCAGCTCCGTGAATGGAAAGGGGTTAAGCCTGTGGACCGTGTGTGAATATCAGTGCAGATGCTCGGTGGAGTCTGTCCCATGCCCCCTGCTTGCAGCAAAAATGCTCTTAGATTATTCAACATAAGCAATTGTATATGCGGGGAACAGATGTAATATTGAAAATTTGCCCGACTGAGTTCGGGGGAGAGAACAGAACTCCAAGATAAAAGATTGTGATGAACAAAAGGTCAGGTCAGACAAGCTATTCCCACATAACTACGGAAGGATGAACCGGACCCGAACCACGTGTGGATGAAGTAAAAATCCGAACAGCGAGTGACTTGAAGGTCCACCGATCACAAACTTGGTACATGAGAGAGCTATCACTGGAAAACCTTCTGCGCGATGAGTGAGAGATTGACAGAGTTGGTCGATAACAAGTACTGGAGTAGGCCCGCAACACGCATGGCAGTGGGTGTGGGAAGGGTTCGGCAGGGTTCGGCAGGCAAACGGTAGCACTATACGAGCGATGACAAGAAAATCCTCTGGAAGAAAATCAGTCAAATTCAACTTCTTGGAGAAAATCAGTCAAATTTAACTTCCTAAGTTTTCGTTTGAAAGTGAGTCTATCTGGAGAAGACAAGATTTCTTTAGGTAAACACTGAATATATTCTGAAGTGCGTGCGAAAGAACTGTTTTCTGATAAAGAGTTGAATTGTTTACGCCCACCATTTAGATGTAAGTAAACAGAAAACCCGGTGGTCCTTCCACGACTAGGCCTGAACACCCAGTATTTAGAAGGTCTTAGCTTACAATTAGTCTCGCCTCTAAAAATCCTGAAAGCAAGTATTATATCGTGCAGGATCCTACGATGTGAAAGGCTTTTAAGACCTAAGACTTTCATTCGTTCACCATAGCTTGGAAGCGATCGTGGATAACCATGACTGGGATAACATCTGTAAAAAAGCAAGCGAGTAAAAACCTTCTGGACGTTCTCCAGGGCCTGCTTATGCTTCCCCAGAAAGGGGCTCCAAACCTGACTTGCATATTCTACAATAGGGATGACAAATGCTTTATAGAGTTTCAGTGATATTTTTGAATCGGCTACTCTAATATGACGAAAGATGGTGTACAGGATTGAGAATGCACGAGATGTAACACTTGAAATTTGCATGTCTGGTTTCAGAGTGCTATTGAACACAACACCTAAGTCTTTGATAGATGTTTTATTCACCAACGAAACTCCATCATGCTCATAGTGTTCATCACTTGCAGTAGCACCAATATGGAATACCGAGCTTTTATTTATATTTACTGAAATATCCCAATTTGTGCACCATTCTACCATGTTATTGATGGCCTGCTGCAAAGCGTCTTTAATTGTTCTTTGATTATCCCTATTGTATATACCATAAATTTTGATATCGTCGGCATACATGAGAGCATGTATGTCAGGATGAGTTTTTAGAATCTGGGGTAACTCAGCAGTATAGACTAGGAATAGTAAGGGTGAAAGAGCACCGCCCTGCGGAAGCCCGCTTCTACAAGGAAAACGTCCAGAATAATCTCTCCCCACTCGAACCGTCATATACCTGGAGTGCAGATAAGATTTTAGCCAATCAAGCAAGGGTCCTCTAATGCCATAATGCTCAAGCTTGTACAACAATTTACCATGACTTATACGATCAAAAGCTTTCGACAAATCGAAACATATAACATCTACTTCTTTCTTATCAAGATATGCCTTGATCCAGTCATGACTACAATCTATTAGTTGGGTTACTGTGGATGCACCGCTGACAAACCCATGTTGTTCCGCGGGTATGAAATTGAACCTTTCCAGCCAAGAGAGAAGTTTGTCACGGATAATTTTTTCAAGGACTTTACATGGTACTGGATTTATGCTTATAGGTCTAAACTCTGTCACAGACTGAGGTTTGGTAACTTTCGGAACAGCAGTGACAATTGCTTCTTTCCAGATGTCAGGTATTTCACCACAAATGAAACTAATTTTGAAGATATGTGACAAGGGGAGCGAAAGTTCTCTTGCACAACGTTTGAAGACAATCTGGGGAATGCCGTCAAACGGTTCAAATGTAGAATGCTTTAGAGTTTTGAGAAAGTTTTCGACAGTAGAAGGCATGATTATAGGTGTTGAGCAGGTATGGTTCAGAGATGCCCCCAATGCTTTAGTATCCGTAGTACTTGTGGAAAAGTTGTTGCAAAAAACTCGGCTAATGCTGAAGCCTTAGAGTGATTTGTTAGGCAGGTGTTGCCTAGCATGTCTTTCAAGGCGCCGTGATGTTGTAATGCTGTATACGATGGATATAAGCAAAGAGATTTTTAGAGTGATTAGACGAAGCCAGGTGTCTCTCGTGATTTGCGAGGAATTTCTTGATGTGGAATGTCACGTCAGAGCAGACCTTACTGTATAATGGGCGGTTGTACTGAGCAGTTCTGAAAAGTCGTTCTTTCTGGAGCAGAAGCGACTGTATGTGACGCGGGTATCGTAGATAGCCATTTCTGTGTACACCAAATGGAGTATATCTAGCCAGTAGACTATACATAACACAGCAGAATCTGTAGTATGCATCAGAGGGGCTAATGTGCCGATCGAAGATCTCTTCCCAGTCAAAAGTGTAAAGGTCATTTTTCATTGCTTCGAAATCAATTTTGTTGAACATAGGAAATGGGATAAGTTCATTTTTTGGGATTTTTTGTACAGAAATTCGATGGTACTGTGATCGGATGTGCCAAACGGCGCCTTGACGGATAGTTTGTGTACTGAGTTAGCACCTGATAGCACCCAATCTAAAATGGCACCGTCGCGGGTGGGTACTGTAACGAATTGCTTGAGATTCAAGTCACGAAAGAATTCGAGAAATCTCTGAACTTGTGGATAAATATGTTGTAGTGAGTCACCAAAGCATCTCAGGGGAAGATTAAAATCATCAGCGATCAGGATATTCGGAGTACAATGGGTGAAGCTAAGAGGAGGTCCACAAGCATATTACTATGTGCTTCGTGCAAAAATCGATAAAAAAAACCTCGGCAGGAATTTTTTTGCATTTTTTTGAAAAATCTTTTCAAAGCGCCTCGCTTAGATGGCGCAGACTGACATTTCAAAGGCTTAGATAAAGGTGTAGGCGTAACTGTGTCGTCTTCCACATTTGCTACGCATTATACTTGGGTAATTCGATAATTTTTCATCGAATGAATGAATATCGAATAAATTCGAAAAGGAAAAATTTCGAATAAACGAATATCGAATAAATTCGAAAATAAAAAATCTCGAATAAACGAATATTGAATAAATTCGGAAAATCAAAAATATGGAATGAATGATTTCGAATAAATTAGGAAAATCAAAAATATCGAATGAATGAATTTCGAATGAATTCGGAAAATCAAAAATATCGAGAATGATTTATCGAATAACTAAAGCAATCACATCTCAAACTTGCCGACATATCTGGCTAAAGCCGATCCAATCATAATTAGCCCCCTAGTATCCCCTATACCAACTCCTAGCTCAAAATTTTCCAAAAATTGCTGAAATCAATAAAATAGTTTTTTAAAATAGTTTTTTCGGTTTTAATCAGCACCCTCACTTACCCCCTTGTACCAATTCCCAACCTCGCAGCTCAAGATTTTGCAAAAATCGATAAAATTGATAAAGTAAATTTTTATTCATACTCAGCACCCTCACTTATCCCCTTGTAACAACTCCCAGCCCCGCAGCTCAAAAATTTCCAAAAATCGATAAAGTTGGTCGGCAACTAGTGTATACATCAGCAAAAAGTCGTATTTTACCCATTATTGGACGATCTAAAAAAACAATAGATATAAATTTTTATGCTGTGCCCAAAAGATTCTTCTTCATATGGTTTGAAAGAGACTGATGTACACCAGAATTAACTTTATTTCTTATCGGCATCAACAACTCTCTACTTTCTACATGATTGGGATACTTTTCTTCCACGTACTGTAGGAATCATGATAGACATACGCGAAACATTATACTTCTTCCATATCAGACTTAACAATGTAAAAGCAAAGTGATTGATCTACTTTCTACATACCCTATTTTCCGGAGTATAAGCCGCACCTTGTATAAGCCGCACCTTGTATAAGCCGCACCCGCCGCAGCGAACAATGGCGCGAAAGCGCCTCTGAAAAGAGCTATATAGCAAATTGAAAACTCGGTGCGTTCTAGTACGGATAGTCATGCCTTTACTTTTTTCTTGTTTCATATGACTTTGCGGGTGTTTAGGTTGTGTTTTCTTTCCTAAATGATACTACTGGTTGACTGTGCTTTCCTTTTTTCAATGATGTTACTGGTGCTAAAATTGTGCTTTCTTTTATTTTGATTTTGATTTGGTTTGAAGCTTATCACCTCTCGATTCCATGTTACCACTGGTATTCAAACGTTCTTTTATTGTTCAGCGGATTCTTGCAGAATAAAGGAGAAGGTAGAGAATTTTGTTACAAACAAACATACTTGCGAAGAACCCAAATAAAGAACGAAAGCAGAAAGCCCGTATTAGATTACTAGGCGAAATGGATAGTACTTGCTGCTTATGCGGCTTCGCGCATCGCGAACGACATCGCATTTCAGCCCGCGCGCGGTGAAAAGAGATGCGGCTTATACTCCGGAAAATAGGGTATATGGAAAACATCTTGAAGCATGTTGGAATATGTATGGTATATGGATATGGGCAAAACACATCAGCATCACCAATGTAACACGGCACTGTGTCTAGATTTCCACGCTTTCTTCGGAAAACTCCTCCTCTAAATCTTTAGATGAAGACTGTTCAGAACTAACGGATGGTGAGTTGGAACCCTCATGACAACCATAACGCTCAACTTCTCTCTGACTCCAAGCTTTGCAGGCCCTGAACACTTGCGTTTCATTTTTTTCTTCTCTGAAGAAATCAAGTCACCTGCTTGTGTCTTTGTTAGTGTTAGCGTTGATCATGAGGAAAAGCCTGGCGGTTTTCCCTAGCAAACGTTGTCTTCTTTTGTTTCCGAAAATGATCCCGGCGGTGCTTAAATTAGTATATTGTCCGACGCATATATGAAGGGAACACAAACCTAAAGAGTCTCTCGCTATCTACTGATGTGCACGGAGTAGCAAAGTATTTCAAGGCGGATGACGCCAGTAATGGAAACTGTTGCTGGTGAATGTGCCACCAGGTCACTGGATCGGATTCAGCATGTGGGCGTGCGTTACCTCGATTCAAATGGATCGAATACTGCTGCAGCTCCATCTAAACGCAATAAACTGGGGGCGTGATAACCATTACCGTATTTTGAATCACCTGCAGATCTTCTTCCTGCATTTGCGAGGATCTGGTGGGTGGACTTGCCGGTTGCGAAGTGATTAGAGACCACATGTCGGACCCCGTTGGCGTCGAGGAAGGGCTAGCTCTGACATCCTCGCCCGCAGGAGTGTCGCATATGTCCTCTGAAATTCGCAGTATGTTACGTGAGTAAGGATGTTCACAAAGAGTTCAACTCACGCTTCGGTTTTGGTAATAAGAAGCTTTCCGACTGCAATATACATTGAGCAGCATGATGACTGGTAGCACACCTGGGAAAGTTACAATCGGTTATAATAATTGGAATCCATGGATAGCTATTTGATGGCCGCTTGGTAAGGCTGCAGGAACGTTCGCATCTCTTTCAACGTACGGATCTCTCCGTCTTCCAAAGGCGCCAAGTCAAAAAAGTGATGTCAGTCTTTCAATAGCCGACATCTTCAACAAACAGCATTGTCAGCAAAACTGACGTCTTATACTTCACCCACCGCGGCAAGAAAATCGCATATCATAAAATATGTGGATGACCACCTCGACCTGAGGGAGATTTTCCTCTTCAAGGAGCCTAGAATAGAATATCAATCGAAATTATTTAACTAGGCGTGGAATTTACCTTTTGGAGGTTTTCTTCATTCTTCCACTTTTGTTGAGCTTCGATACAACGGCCTTTACTTTTCTCAGAGCATTCGCACAGACAGGAAGGGTGAGAGCTGTTGATACGGCTAAGTTTATAACATGCGCACAGCAATGAATGCTAAATTGACTCGATGAGCAAGATTGATGCAGGGATAGGACGTGGCACTCACTACTGTATGCCTAAATCGGACGCAGCTTTTATCATGACTGTGATCCCATCTGCGACCATGAATGACATGTTATTCGCGGCAATCCCAAGATTTGCAAAACTTGCTAGAATCTTTGATGTTATCACCTCGCTCGTGTGGCTAAAGAAGAGATAATTGGAAAGCCTCAATCTCCATACCACAGTGTACCTTTTCTCGTCCAAGGGAACACAGTCTAATAAAACATTGGCCCTCTCTGAGAAGTCCTTCTTCAAAACGTGTCCGGTTATCGCCAGCAGTGCACAGGAGGCATTTTTTGATGACCACTCGTCTACAGTGATCGCAAACTTAACATCACCACAAAAAAGTTTCTTGTTCCCCTCGTCAATGTTATGAACTTCTTTCTGCATCAGTTTCTTCAAAGTCTTCCTCGTTGGAGCAGCGTAGGACGGATTCAGCGTTTGCACGAGTTCCTTGAAGGATTGCAATTCGATGTTGTGTAATGGAAGCGAAGCGATCTTTTGAAGCAATAAGGTGGCCACATATGTACTTAAATTCCACAAACGCTACGATACATTGCCTGTTCATCGGAAACTTTCGTCTTGTGTGGTATAAGCTAGTCGTGGACGAAGGCATGTGGTTTCCTCCGCGAAGCGAGCACGAATGCCCCTATAACCCCGGGCATACTGCAGGCATTTCAGTGGCGACGTGGTATGGCAATACTCAAACTGTCAAAAACCTATTTTGAAAGTACAGAATGCAGGGCATTTATCTTTTAGTATGTTGTACAAGCTAAACATGTGTGATAAGCTGCCGTTACACCTGAAGACATCTCGTAACTGGCAAATCGCGTACGGCGATCTAAACCGTCTAATCCTGCACTACAACTGCGATGTCCTTTACTCAATATATTAGGTTGGTGCAAAAGTTTTGTCAGTTTTTTCAATCCATCGGCAAACACGCTTAAATGAAGATAAACAAACACTTCGAGATGTATCCGATGCAGAATTTCTTCCTCTTTCCAGCTGCGGGACTACTATTGTGTTTCGTTACGAGAGTAATGAGATATCTGCTGGAAATTACAACCACTCGTTTTTACCATGTCCAAAATTTTCCTAATTTTCAAAACTTTTTGGTGAGACTTTCTGAGGAGCCTTAATAACCATCAGATAGAGCAAACCTTCTGCCAACTTATGCAATTTTTTTCTCTTTTTCAGCTGCTCTTTCAGATTTTCGCTAAATAATATTCCAAAAGCCTTGTGTTTTGGAAAGATCGCATAACCTGCTATTGCACCAAACACTGCAAAACCTACAAAATGCTGAGGTTTCAACACTCGATTATTACTACCGCGATTATTACAATATAAGAGTGCGATTTTCGCTCTAAATCATGAAGAATTTAAAACATAAATTACGTCAGTGCGCACTCGTAAAACTGAGAAATACTGCGACTTTTCCCACAAATTTCGCTTGTCTCGGCAAAAAAAAGACAAGTGTTAGACGGAGGAGAAAATGTTGCATATAATGGTGACTAGAGCGTTTGATATCTCATGTTTTACGAGGTTAAAATAGGCTGAATGTAAAATTTGGTTACTTCAAAAAATAATTCGTAGAAATTCAAAAATTGCTTCCGTTGGAAAAAGGTTTGCTCTTTCTGGTGGTCATTAGGGTTCCTCCGTACGTTTCATCCAAAAATTTGAAAAATAGTGAAAGTTGGACATGGTAAAAACGAGTGGTTGTAATTTCCAGCAGTCTCATCACTCTCGCAACGAAACACAATAGTAGTCATGCAGCTGGAAAGAGGAAGAATTTCTGCGTTGGATACATTTCGAAGTGTTTGTTTATCTTCATTCTAGCGTGTTTGCGATGGATTGAAAAAAACTGACAAAACTTTTGCACCAACCTAATACACCAAATTGCAAAAAACTCCAAGGTAACGAATAGGCAGTTTTGCAATAATTTATGCAAGCAAGAGTGCTCACTAGTGTGGGCTTTGCGTACCGCAAGCATGAGCAATGCAAAGAAAGAAGAACAGCCATTTTAATTCGGTATGAACTCAGAACATGAGCTTGAATTTGATATCTTCTTTGCTGATTTGGTGCCAATAGCAGTGCGAACAATCTCATTAATCGAAAAAACATCAATTAAAATCCACATATGGCTTTTTTCTGTCGCAAGCAGTCGGAAGATTGCTACTCTCCACACAGTTCAAAGGTATACCGGTTGCAAAAGATGCATTACCGAGTTTTGCGGAAAAAAACGCGGACGAAGTGAGCTTGATACTCAGCAGTTGGCTCTGCAACAAAGTCGATTAATCTGAATACGGAGTACATTCGAATACGAATTCGAATAAACATTCGAATAAAACTTTCGAATAAAATCTATTCAAAACCCCGTTTTTTGATTATTCGAGTTTTCGAATAATATTCGAAATCTCGTTTTTTGATTAGTCGAGTTTTCGAATAATATTCTCTCGTTTTTTGATTAGTCGAGTTTTCTAATTTTATTCGAAACCCTGTTTTTTGATTATTTGAGTTTCAAATTTTATTCGAAGAATATATTCGAATGTTTTATTCGAATGATCGAAATTCTATTCGATTCGGACCCAAGTATACTGCGCACTATGGACTATGTTCTGTCAATTTGCCACTCCCTCCTGTCTCTGACTCATCATCTGTACAAATGCCAATTTATTGACATTAATGTCGACAAAACCTGCCTATAAAATGGATGTTGTAATACGCGCAGCTTAGCTATCGAATTTTGTTAATTCCAATATTCAGATTGGACTCATGTTCGAGAATCTTGAAAAGTGAATCAAAGAAGGGTGGGTATACACATAAGTCTTCATAATTTTCCCAATTTGGAATGATTGAACGTCCCTCATGCGCACATGCCCAAATTCGGTGCCATATCTTTGCCTCTTCGTTTCAATAAGCTATTCCATCGAGAGGCAGTCTGAAATTCGCGCTATGCGAATTGCATTAGCTTAGGTAACTGATGACCGGTATCTTGCAAAAGTTTAGGCACGTGTCTTCTAAAAAACAACTCACCCCCGCACCTAGCTGAAAGCCCCACCCCTTCCTCATTCTTACCTCATTAATTTTATAGGGCCGCACTTTGAAGAGAAACAACCCTGCAGTGGCGAGTTTCTGACCTTGGAGGTCCGTGCGCATGTTTTTAATCTATTGCACACGGCTTACAGGTAAAAACAGCGTAAATGAAGTGAATTTTCCCTTGGGCATTCTTTTTCTCTTGAGAGTTCTTTGAAGAACCATATTTTTCTTAGGAAAATGCGGCGGGGATTGGGACCAAAGTACTAATGTTGCGAGAACAAGTTTCAAGAAACGGACTCTCAGGGTATAGAGCTTCCAAAAATCGTGACGATGGCGCGACCGCGCGCGACACGCACCACTTAGGAATCGCATTTTTCTGACTTCTATTAGGTTGGTAAGAAAGTTCTCGGATATTTTCAGAAAAGATCTGCTATTTCTCGAAACCTAGCGCATATACATCAGATAGAGATACCATTCGATAGAGCAAAGCAAGCTCTACAAGATGGTATGCAAAAGTTTGCACCAGCTTCGACCCACCGTAAGTTTGCACCCAAAATCTGAGTCGTACGAAATTCGAAAAATCGCGAGAAAATCATATCTTTGTTCAAACACATCCTGCGGATATCCAACTTGCTCACAAAAATTGCACTTCACATCACTCAATTATTACAATTACCGAATTGAGCGCTCCTCACTCGGGCGTTCCATGCTAAAATCAATATTTTTTGACAACTAGGCCTTACGGAAAGCTAAAAATTTGCGGTTATACTTCTAAGGGCTTGTACTATTCAATTACGTCGGTGGAAACAGCACAGCTTCGTTTTTATACAAGCATGGAAGTTTTCGTTTTCTCGATTTCTAGATGAGGAAGAATTACAGGAGCGGTGCGTATGAATGTATGATGTGGAATGCAATTTTTGTGAGCAAGTTAAAGATCCGTAGGATGTGTTTGAACAAAGATATGAATTTGTCGCGATTTTTTGAATTTCGGTGCGACTCAGATTTTGGGTGCAAACTTACGGTAGGCCAAAGCTGGTACAACTTTTGCATACCATCTTGTAGAGCTTGCTTTGCTTTATCGAACGGTACCTCTATCTGATGTATATGCGTTAGGTTTCGAGAAATAGCAGATCTTTTCTGAAAATGCGAGAACTTTCTTACCAACCTAATATCTCTATTCGAATGGTTCTTCTGCTCACATATGATAGTATTCAGCCATTGGAAGTGACTGACCTGAGCGTTAAGGTTCTGCCTGTTTGTAGTGGTAACTCCTGTTTGCGCAAAGACCGCAGTCAAATTGTCGTCACGTATGAGAATGACCTATAAGTTAGTTGGGACAGGCACAAAGTTACAAAACCTGAGGCAGCCCGAGACTCTAAGCGGTAGTGCCTAACCTTATAAACATTATGAGAAAGCTTTTCCACTCAAGTTTTCTGTCATTTGTCAGCATAACTTTTAAAATCTCTCTTCTAATCAAGTTAGCTAGCTTTTACCATGGGGCTCGCTGACACTCAAAAACAGGGCCTTCATTAACTTTAGAAGTAGCAAGATTCTAGAGACTATTCTGGGTAAAGCGCTTTTTCCTTTGCTATGCTGCAATTGAATGGCTCCATCGTCATTATATGACTTTGGTATTTGTTTTGTTTTGTCTTGTCTTTATAACTCTTCTTCCTTTTGTGACTGAGCATTGGCTGGTCTTTTGTCTTATTTCTGTGTTGTCTGATTTTATGCTTGATTTCGGTTTTTTCAATGGTGCACTACGAGTGTATACATAAAATTAAAAAAAATCCGTGGGTCGGAGCACTCTCGATGTGAAAAACGCGGTGGTTGCAGTTTTGGAAAACTTACAAATCCATCAGCTGATGAAATGAAATTTCTAGTTTAGTTTTGTGAAGGCTATTGCTTCGTGCGACTATGAAGAAAGCTGATTTTTTTTGTCTAGGTCTGATCTTATTTGAAAACAACACTTCTCAGTTGAAGGTGGATTAATTGTGGTAAGTAATGGTTTCTAAAGTTATAGATGAGATTTGGCTGCTGATTAGGGAGATCACAACATTGTGGAGCCCTGGTAACTTACGGCAGGTGTAGGTACAGTAAGAGAAAATGCATGGAATTGAAACATTGGTAGTAGTTACCAGATATGCTATTCACAATTGTATTCAATCTCTGCGATAATCAGCGATCTTACAGGGTGTCCCAAAAGTCTTGTAGCCTAATTTTGCACTGCTTTAACTCAACAATCACTGGTGATTTTGATCTCAAGTTTATATCACAGAATCCTCCAATCATTCTTCGTAAACTACATCCTTGGGGGTAGAAAATGATCCTCATGTTTGACTGAAAAAAATAAAATT